ATTACATGGGTGTAGTTACAGGCGACAGAGGGAAACAAATCAAGAGATGGACAGCAGTGTCGTCTTAATAACGACAAAAATAAACTGCAGTTGCCAACCCGCTTGCCAAGCGTGGCAACTATGGCAAATGGATATTTGTGTTATTTAGGGGGATCCCTATGAGGCAATCTATAGGGGAGGCTTCCTGTATAATATACTTATTATACTCTTTGGGGAAGGCTTATGTTCAGCAGTGGATTTTAATAGGCTTTAAAGGTCAAAGAGTATATTTCTGTCTGGTAAAGGTACTCTGTGCCTTTGACCCTTTGATGCGACTCGCTCGACGTATTTAAGAGAGATACTTACACTGCCATCTATCGGATACATTAAAACATTTTATATCTTACCTAAGGTATAATAAAAATAATTTAAAGTAAAAAAATATAGACACTAGAGCATCCTCGAAACAAGGACAACGAGTGGTCAAGCGATTAATCAGAAGCCACAATATCTCCTAATGCCATTATGATGAGATGAGACGTTGTTATAAAACTGTAAAGCCTTATGAAGTTTCGCAGATCAGATAGCATCTATTTTAACTACACCGCTTGTTTATCCGGCTCGAAGGACCATCAGAAATGTTCAGTATCGCCATGATTCCACCATACAATTAATTATAGTCATAGTACAAATTTGGCCCACACTTCACCTCGTAACGGTAGGCGAAGTGTAAGGCAGTCCCCACTAGATAAAGTGACGACCTGGTAAGACATGCAAGAAGTCAATGGATGCAGGTGGCTCTTCCTTGGAGACCTATGTTCAGCAGTGGACTTGTGAAGGGCTGTATTAATGATAATGATGATATTTTCACAAGTTAATAAGTAGCATTTGATACGGTGGCCAAGCGTGACGATTAAAGCAAATGCTCTATAATGGGGAAGAGCTATGTCAAGCGGTAGGCTTCTGAAAGACTTCGAAAACCGGTTTTCCATCCGCTTTCAGAAGCTCAACTGTAGTTCTATCCAAACCCGGATCTTCGATGTTTGTAATTTGTTCAGACTGACATCCAGGATATCATCGGAGTTGGGTCGGATGACACTTGATCTTGGATCGTTATTCATAACTGCGTATGGCTCCAACAATGACTTGTACAGCGGTCCATAGAACCTCTCCTCTAAATCTTAGGTGTCCTGGAAATGACGCTGCCACAATCAGCCTTCCACTTCGACAGTTGACTATTTCTGGCAAACAGATCTCAGTCAAAGATTCTGGAGCCTTGGTTTCGCTTAATCGCTTCTTCAATACCAGCTGTATCGATGTCGTGTAAGTATCGTCGCACGTATTTTGAGATCTCTATGTTTAGTCGCCTGTATGCTGCCGGGGTTGTTAAAATTGCAGATTTATATTCTGTCTAACAGTCTGAGATCATAACAGATTGGAGTTTTTGGGTTCTTCTGGCACAGAACAGAGTTGCAGGACTAAGCTCCGGCCGTATGCAGTTTTCACGAGCTTGTCATCTATATCAACCATTATATTGCTATTTTGGCACTGAAAACGATTGTGTAATTCGTGCTGAAAGTTTTTGGGGCTTTGAATCAGAGCACGAAGGGGATGGAATTTGGATTTCATTAGACCCGACCTCTACACCTTAACGTTAAGATTCAGTTCAGTTATGGATTTAGTTTTCACTTACGCGATCGGCTGAACAGTTGCGGTCTGATAGTCATAATGAAATCAATCTCATTTTTCGTTGAACCATCGGGGCTAGACCACCACTTCCTGTAGTGTCGCTTCTGAAAGAAAGAGTTCATCATAAAGAATTCCTCCTTCTCCATAAAGATTGCCAGCTGCTGACTCCTTGGATTCCGTGGGCCCTTCAAATTTCGTTACCATCAGCTCACCGTCCTCTCTTATGCCTAGTTTTGTGTTGAAACCTCCCATCAACATCGTATAATGTGTTTTGGAGGAATGCATAGCTGTAGAGATATCTTCATACATCTCCCCAACCTCCTCACCGGGGTGTGCCAAGCCTGGTGGCTGAACCTGTATGACTTTCAACGAATATCGTTTAGTGATTCTAAGTATAAAATACGCAATCCTCGTCGGCACATTCCCAACCTTTATAATGTTGTTAACAAAAGACGTATGGACGATAAATCCGACCCCTCCTTGGGGCAAATGGTCACCTTGCCGGTGATAGAACGGGATTACCGTGTCCTCCCACTCTCTTTGGACCTCAGATAATCCTATAATATTCCAGCGTAACTTGTCTACATTTCTTCCAGCTCCACGATCTCCTCGTCAGTCCTTAGAGCGCGTACGTTAAATGTTGCCAGTTCGAGTTGTTTAAGGAGGCAACCAAACCGCTATGCTACCGAGTCATCTTCACTGTACATTTTAATACTTGTTTTAATATAGAAATCGTGCTTAAATAAAACTACATATTCAGAGCGAAATTTATTCAAATTAACCAAATTTATACATCATTAAGTCAGTTTCGCTTCTTACAAAAGACGGTCACTTAGTTATAATAAAACAATATAAATTAGTAATGCAGCACCAAAATACATACAAAATACTTACAAAACAACATCCTACTCACAGACCGAATGGAATACCCATTCGATCAACTCCACCATACGACGAGAATATTTTGCAGACTTTCTGAAACGTTTAGTTTCGCAGATAAAAATTTCAAGACTTGTCATATAGATGAATGTGATTTTTAATAAAAATGTAACGCAATTTTGAAATGTGGGTAGATACATTTTTACTTTTGGTACAAATCTGAACCGGCAGACTACCTTAAGTCCTCAAGACCTCGCGTATGTATAGAGTCCTCTTGTTTTCTATAAGAACAGCTAACAAGCGCTACACACCCGTTGATCACTGCTAAGTATCTACAGTGTTATCTATTGTATACTAAGACATTTGGTGCGCGATGGCACTTTACGTTAAGTGAGCATGACTAATGTTCGGGACTGACGAATTTTATAAACAAAAATCAATACGTTATGGTTAGTGTGGATAAGACTTCATTTTATATTTTTAACATTAAAGTACTATGTAATTCTCAGTATAATGTTTTCACACGAAACCCTTTCCATATTATTTTGTAAATCATCTTTGTTTATAAAATCCAATAGTCCCTATAACTATATTAAATTTAACACGGCAGTTTCTTGCCCTTGGTGGTCACCATACGATATATGTATAATATAAAAGTTATTTTTAGTAAACTCCACACATTCACACTAATTTCGAATACTGAAACCACATCGTACACGTTTATTTTTTATTTTCGCACTAACAATAGTTATATAAAAATATATTTTATTAACGACAGACTGTGGTAACTTTTTGTGTTGCATGTGATATAAAAAAAATTAAATTCTTCGATTAAGGTCCATGCACTTGAAATACTTTTGATTTAATATCATTGCAAATAATAATAAAAAACAAGTTTTAGTATGCATGAATCTTTAATACTGTTAGAGATCGCAAAAATGGACGTCTAAGTTCTAGCAGCGATCACAATGAACGGTTTATAATTTTGAGCAATTATATTACATAATATAAAAAGCGTCTAACACAATATTCTAAATGTAATCTTGACATATTTCCAATTTTAAATCACATATTATGTACGTTAGCAATAGGGTGGATAATACCTTTCTTCAAAATCACATTAAAACAACATTGATTATAATGGTATTAATTTACCAGATTCGTTAGTTTTTCTTTTAACATTACGAAAAATCCTCCACTATTTGCCACTTAAATATTCATATTCTATGTAATAAAATACAATTTTTCACATAAAATTCGGGTCAACTCAACATTAAACTTGATCACATTTTGGTGTAAAGAGTTCCTAATGTAAAATGAATTTGTGAGCATGGCAAGCTAATTTAACAATGATCACTAAACGAAAATAATTATTAGTACAAAGCGACGTGTCGGCAAGCGAATCCTATTAAATAAAAGTTCTATACAGAGAATACGAACATATTTATAGCCATAAAAAATAAATAATAAGTAAATATTTATTATAAAACATAATTAAATTATACACATTTATTATTATATTACAAAACCATAATAATTGGTGTAATGTACAATAGAACTATTAAAATGTCATAGGTTTAAAAATCATCTTGTTGTTTCAACATATTTTTAGCACTGGGGAATTATCAAATAAAAAATATAAATGCATCAAAATAACATCACTGTAGACAAAAATAAATAAAATGCACGTAAATAACATATATTTGGAATTCAGAATGAACGCAGTGATATTTTAAATCTTGTAAACAATGTACATATCTATATATTTTAATAGGTGCAACAACAACATTCACTATAAGTATTAATGTATATAAAATTATTGTTTGCAGACAACACCGAGCGTTTCAATGCATGTTTTAGAAAATATGTTGATACAACGCGTTTGTTAAAATGTCACAAGCTCACGAGTCTTTTTGTGGCTCTTCATATTTCATGTGGCATAAGGGAATTCGTCGCTTGGGTGTCATAAACTCAACTAAAGGTATGCCAGTTAATGGCTTATGTTCAGCCGTGGACTTTTATAGGCTGTAATGGATGGATGGTTATATGCCAGGTAAATATTGTAGCTAAATGTAAACACCACGAAAGGAATGGGCATCCACAATGACAGATATCTGACACTAAACTGCCTATTGAGACTGGCAGGTCACAGCGGTCGACTGTTGCTAGCTAATGACTGCAAATAGCAATTTCCATTGTTTTTTTTTTAGTATAAGTTTGTTAAAAAGATCTACAAATCAATGTGCAATGGATCATTTACATGCATATTTGACATTATTTACACACTTTACTATTGTATCACCAGAAACAAATTAATATGATGCTAAGTAAACACCAATTAACAACACCTTGCATATTGTGTCACAAGGAGACCCCATGTGATTGCGTACAGTGTTATATAATGAAGTGATTGCCAAATAAATTCCTACAAGACTTCAAGTGGATCAGGTCGGTCACAGCTCTTTCAGGAGCGCGGATTTAGCGTTCTTGAGTTTGTCAAGGCGTTTTGTCAGATGACTATTCTCCGTCTCCAATTCTTCCACTCGATTGAGGGCTTCTCTTGCCTGAAAATATGTGATAAATTTTTATATAAACGAATCTTAAATATTTTGCAATATTAGGATTTTATTATTAAAGATATTTGTTATTTTTTTAACATTTTAATCAATTAAATACAAGAGATTATCATAGGAATCATTAGAAGGTAATGTGGGGCGGTATGGAACACTTGAACTACCAAATGATATGTTTGCAATGTTTGTTATAATGTTAGTAGAAAGTTTTCAGTAAGGGCTATTTTCCAGATTGACTTTTCAGTTTTTAGTTCTATCAATAAGAAAGTTATAATTATAAAAACTATTATTAAAAATATACATACTCATTATTTTAAAAGGCTTAACTAATAATTATTCCATATGTTCTTTAATTATTGTATGTGCATGTAGGGAAATTGTATAAAAAATATATGAATCTAAATCAGTCACAACATTTTAAAAAATGTATTGCTGTGACGTGCACAAAATTATATTATGACGTAATTTAATGTAAAGATATCTTTTTTTTTATGACAACAGAAAACACTGAAGTCCTATCTATATAATAAAAAGTTGAAATAAAATCATAATATTTTTTGTCAGTAAAGGTTATGTTTTTATTTTAATATATAACGTAATATACTTTACATTTTAGTGAAACAAACTCATGCGGATTGTAAACTGGAAAGTGCAAATTAGGTACGGAATTACAGAATTTATTGCATTTTATAAACGTAAATCTTTATTTACAAGACACAGATCCATGAAGCAAAATATCCTTATTGAGATACATTAAACCGACTCACGAGGAAGTACTAAATTCGACTGTATTTTTTTTAAATGTGCTTTACCTCAGAACTTTTTTCTAAGTGAACCGATTTTGACGATTCTTTTTTTTATTTGAAAGCTGGTGCTTCTCATGTGATCCCATATAAATTTGATCAAGATCTGACCAGTAGTTTTTGAGTTATCCTTAATAATGCGTATTTAATTGACTTCGACTACATTGATGATGTTCTCAGTTTATTTATATTGAAGTCGGTTGTACAAAATTTTTAATTTTATCGCTTGTTGATGTTATGACTTTCTACAAATTATACAACTCTGAAATATAGCTAATATAACAGGTAGAAAAATCAATAACACTTATTTGGACATGGAACTGTGATTGTTGTTTTATAATAAACTATGTGAAAGGTTTAATTGGTTTTAATTTGAACAGTAGGACATTCTATGCTGGTTCACATCACAAACTTGGAAGGACATGTCAATTCAATCATACCGTCAGCACTCTCCGTTATTGATAACGGCCCAGAAGTCAATAACTTCCTGAAAATAGATTTTTTTCGTTTGCATACGATAGTAATTATAAACGCACCAGTTAATAAAGATCTCATAGATATCCTCCCATTCATGCGAGTTTTCTTTTGTAGAATAAGGGTAACAAACGAGCACAGAGTCCACCTGATGGTAAGTCTATGCTGTGGCCCATAGACATCTACGTCTATCCTCAATTAATAATCAAAATGAGAGCGTGGTCCTTCCCCTGTCGAGCCGATCCATTCGTGCTACAACAATAATATAGCTGCAGCATGGCTCTACCGCGCACAAACCTAATAATACAGAAGCCGTCCGCCACGTTGCTTTCAGTGAGTGTTAACAGACTTGACACATGCATGTTCCTTCTAGTTGTTTTCCTTAAAAATCGACTGAAGGATAAACCACTATTCCTGAGATACTTTGCTATAAATTGATTTGTACTTTCATCATCAACAACATCATTAGAACCCTTCACAAGTCCACTGCTATACATAGGCCTCCACCAAGAATGCCATAAAGCACGGTCCTGAGCCACCTGCACCTTGGACTTCCTGCATGCCTTACTAGATCGTTACTCCATCTAGTGGGGGGCTGCCCACACTTCGCCTACCGGTACGAGGCGAAATGTGGGGCGCATTTAATATAATTAATTGTTCGGTGGAATCTCGGCGCAACTGAACATCTCTGATGGTCCTTCGAGCCGGATAAACAAGCGATATATGGATGTTGTAGCCAGCCAATAAAGAGAGTTCATTCTGCAGTCAAGGTCTGCTTCTTTCAACATAGAGAATATAGTATAATAGTATAATATCTTCGTGTAGACTTAAAACTTCGTTATTTTACTTAAAAACTAATTGTATAATTGCATCTGTTGGCGCTGCCACTAATGTTCTTTTGCGTTTAGAGTGTGGACTTAATCCAGCTTGAGCTGCTCCTCGTGCTCGTCCTGGTGGTCCTGGCCGCCTGCAGCTCAGTGCGGACGTACCTCGCGCTGCAGACGTCGCCGCTCCTGCTTGAGCTGCTCCTCGTGCTCGTCCTGGTGGTCCTGGCCGCCTGCAGCTCAGTGCGGACGTACCTCGCGCTGCAGACGTCGCCGCTCCTGCTTGAGCTGCTCCTCGTGCTCGTCCTGGTGGTCCTGGCCGCCTGCAGCTCAGTGCGGACGTACCTCGCGCTGCAGACGTCGCCGCTCCTGCTTGAGCTGCTCCTCGTGCTCGTCCTGGTGGTCCTGGCCGCCTGCAGCTCAGTGCGGACGTACCTCGCGCTGCAGACGTCGCCGCTCCTGCTTGAGCTGCTCCTCGTGCTCGTCCTGGTGGTCCTGGCCGCCTGCAGCTCAGTGCGGACGTACCTCGCGCTGCAGACGTCGCCGCTCCTGCTTGAGCTGCTCCTCGTGCTCGTCCTGGTGGTCCTGGCCGCCTGCAGCTCAGTGCGGACGTACCTCGCGCTGCAGACGTCGCCGCTCCTGCTTGAGCTGCTCCTCGTGCTCGTCCTGGTGGTCCTGGCGCGCTCGCAGGCGGGCCACCTGCGCCTCGAGACGCGCCACGGCGGCCGCTTGCAGCGCAGCTTCAGCCTCCGCCCGCGCAGCTCGTCCCTTTGCCTCCGCCACAGATTTGCGTAAAGATTCCACTGTAAAACGAGGTTTAAAAGTCTACAGTATGATTTTTACATGATGCATATTAGATATAGTTCACATCTATCTAGGTTGTCTTAAGTAAAGGTCTCACTTTGTGATGGCTATGCATCCATCATCCCAAATCGCCCCGTCCGAGGAGATTACAAATTCCTACTGTACGTTGATGAGATGGTCCCTCCATCCGGATAACATTACTGAGTCTTTTGAGTCGGATATATAAGAAATAAGCATTTTAATAAAATGTTCCTTCAAGCCAGACAAAATTATAAAATTAGATTATTTTAAAATGGCTTATTTAGTAAACTATCAGTAAGCGATTAGTTGTAAAAGCATGGGGAGTAAATACTCACGTTCGCTGTCGTGTTCGCGCTCATGTAGCGATGCGACTCCATTTTGTCGCGCGGCACGCTCCTCGTTGAGACTAAGTTTCAGTTTGCGCACTTCTGACTCCAATGCTTGCTTCGAACTCACCAATTTCTGCAACCGTACATCTGCAATAGGGACAACCACATTATTAAAACTGTTTGCTCTTTGATATTAAACATTAAAATTGGGGATGGCAGAATCTGTAACCCTTGCTTATACCATGGGTTGGTAAGTGGCTATTATAGAGGATAATAGTGTTCCTTGTGATGAATTGAAGTGTGTTAAAGTGCTAATCGGCGAGGAAAAACATAAAATCTTTAGACTTTATTGAGAAATATATATGCCTAATATTTTCACCAACATTTTACGCGGACGTAAACAAATCTTTCCTTAAGAGAGACGATTCTATTTAGAATATAATAAATAATTTGTTTTTAATTTTGTACATAGTTTGTTTGTACTTTAGTTCATGCTTTTCTCTTGTTGTATTATAATGTATGTAAATATCTTTTTCTTTCGCTCAAGCAAACCCAAACGGCTTTTTTTAAAGCCACGAAGGTATACAATTGCTGATATGTCATACAATCTATCGAGCAGTAGTATGCCTTTTGTGTGCTTTGTTAAACACGTCCTCGACAGCACTGAATATGAAACTGAAGAGGGGAGACAGATCAAGATTGGTGTGTTTTTATAAAACAACAAAACAATATCTTTGGCTTGCCCTAGTTTGGAGTCCTAGCTCCGCTACTGTCTGCAACCAATCACGAAAGAAAAAGGCTATAGATTCGTTGTCACCCCTAAAGGCTAAGATAGTATGTTTCACAGCCTGTAACTATACTGACTCACTATAACTTTCAGATTTGAACACAGCAGTGCAAGCATTGCTATTTGGCGGCAAGTAAGAAGGTGGTACCTACGCACACGGATTCCTACTTCTTTAATCTAGTATAATTAATGTGAAAGAGGCAAGTGAAGTAAAATCAAGTGTGTAACATAGAATTTGACCGCCGACGGATTATTGCTCTGGTTTGATTGTATAAGTAATGGTTTAAAGTGGATTTTGATATGTATAAATGGTGCCAATTGTGGAAACAATGAAATAAGTGCTCCGATGGTGATGTGAACCTTAAGATAATTTGTTTGCTTAGGTTTCTTGAGATAATGTCGTCATCGACTGTCTGCCGGTTCCAACTGTCAAAATCTCCCAAGCACTTCTTAATGTGACGCATCAATATGTTGGGAAGAAGTTATTAAGCAAATTATTATAATTATAAAGGACAATTTTTTATTAGTTCACCATGGCAAAAGTGCAAGTGTTCGAGTCCATAAGCAAATAAAATGTGACAGTCACCCAGCGTGCCCTCGCCGGCGTCGTTGAGCAGCTGCTCGGAGTGGTGCGAGACGAGCGCGAGCGGCGGCACGCTGCCGAAGCCCTGCGGCATGTCTGCGCAGTCGGCCGCCTCCACGAAGGCGAAGCCCGCGGCCGCGGCCGCCGCGTCGCGCGCGCGCACCGCGTCCCGCGCGCACGTCACCTCGCGCTCCAGCGCCAAGTGCTCGCGCTTTAGCCGCTCGTGTGCCGAGCACTTCTCTTTGTGTTCCCGCTGCAAAACGATACGCACGGCTCATTGGAAGAAAAGGTCATTTAGCGTAACCCCACTTGGGAAGCGAAAATGCGATCGCAACACGATCAATACGTTAGTTACTTATTTTCTTCGTATTTTAAATAGAATAATTTTTATTCAATATTGATTACAAGTAATTCTTATTGAAACTAATTTTTTTACTTTACCACTGGTACGATATGTCCTGAGAAGAACCAGCTAGAAACCCAGCGGGACTTTTTTTTTTTCAACATAAATTTTACAATATAAACGATTACAAACTATTTACAAAATTTATTTTAGAAACAGCTAGATGGCGACCACCTCTTCCCAGGGGTTATTATCAACCATGTATTCATTTATATTATAACCCTTTTTATACAGTTTTTGTTTAATTAAATATTTAAACTTTGTAATAGAGATACCTTGTATATTTTCTGGGACTTTGTTCTAATAGCGTATACATTGCCCCAAGAATGAATTACTGACTCTGTGGAGTCGAGAGACTGGTACCACTAGCTTGTATTTGTTCATAGTGTACTCAGAGTGTATATCATTTTGTTTACTAAAACTATCTGTTTTTGTGAACATACATTAAATTTTCGTAAATATACTAAGAGGCTAAAGTATATACATTTATTTCTTTAAACTTTTTCTAAGAGACTCTCGATTTAAGGTTCTAAAAAGCTCTTATGACCGTCTTCTGAAAAACAAAAATAATTTCTAAATCAGCCGCATTTCCAAATAGCATAATCCCATGAGACATTATGCTATAGAAATAACTGATCTAATCTAGCTGTCTCGACACTAGTGAGATCTCTAATCTTTTTTACAGCATAAGCTGCAGCTTAGTCTGCTTGATAGTTTGTTTATATGTGGGCCCCACTGAAGCTTTGCGTCGAGAGTGATGCCAGAAAAACAGTGGATTCAACAGGGCTCAGTTCTTCCCCATTTAAAAACACATTGGTATTCAGACTTTTAACATTCGTTATTGTAAATTTAATACATTTAATTTTATTGCCGTTTCGTCATCATCATTATTACAGCCCTTTACAAGTCCATTACGGAACATAAACCTCCCCCAAGGAATGCCACGAAACACGGTCCCGAGCCACCTACATCCATTGACTTCCTGCATGTCTTAACACGGCCATCACTCAATCTAGTGGGGGGACGCCCTACACTTCACCTGCCGGTACGAGGCTGCCACTCGAGAACCTTTCTTCCCCATCGGTTGTCGTTTCTTTGAGCTATATGGCCGGCCCACTGCCACTTCAGCTTACTAATTCGTTGGGCTATGTCGGTTATTCTGGTTCTACTGCGGATATCCTAGTTTTTAAGTCTATAACGTAGAGAAACGCCGAGCATAGCCCTCTACATAGTTCGCTAAGCGACTTTGAGCTTCCTCATACGGCCAGCAGTGAAGGACCACGTCTCAGTTCCATAGGTCATCACTATCAACACGCTCTGGTTGAACAATCTAGTTTTGAGGTGTTGAGGTATGTCTAATGAGAAGATGTGTCGTAATCTCCCGAACGCTGCCCAGCCGAGTTGAATCCGTCGATTAACCTCTCAGTCGAAGTTGGACTTACCTAGTCGGACTATTTGTCCCAGGTAAACATATTCGTCAACAACTTCGAGCTTAGTGCTCCCAATAACTACCAGCATAGGTGTTACATGGACGTTAAACATGATTTTTGTTTTGTCCGTGTTCATCTTAATACCTATCCGTTGGGAGACACTATTGAGGTCATTGAGCATAGTGCTTAGGTCCTCCAGCGTTTCTGGCATAAGGACTATATCGTCGGCAAATCGAAGGCAAGTGATGTACGCGCCATTGGCGTTAATACCGTATCATTTCCAGTCCAGTAGCTTGAAAACATTTTCCAATGCAGCGATGAAGAGTTTCGGGCATTATACGTCACCCTGTCTTACACCTCCACTCCCTCCCTCGTACTCTGATAGCTATCGTAGCCATACTGTCAAACACTTCAGCACCTCGATATACCCACAGTCCACTTGGCACCGCTGGAGGGACTGCAGCACCGCAGTTCGGTTAGGTCTTTTGTAAAATTTGCCGAAGGGTATGTATGTGCTCTATGGTGCTATTGACGTTTAAATGTAGATTATTAACGTTAAACCAATGTACTAATTTTGATATAGCATTATTCACTTCGTCACATTTAAATGATAGACGTTTAAATTTAAAAATCAAGGAAGTATCATCAGCAAATAATACTATATTATGATTATAAGGTAGAAGGAAGGTAAGTTATTATTATACACTAAAAATAGGAATGGGCCATGTCGGGGATGTGTCAGATTGTTTGTTAAGTATGTTGAATTGATAACGTTCGAAATAGTAAAAAATAACTTTATTTGAAACAGTTACAAAAATGTTAATAAATTGTTATGAATGCACCCGACACTGTTGCGTAACGAAAATGCACCAAACAAATTGGCGGCATAGCCCCAATTGCTGACAAAGTTGTTCGGTTTCACCGAACAGACCAAGAATCGAGCCCTGAGCCATCTACTCATTTTGATACCAATGACAAATGAAATTAAAATAGAGGGCGCTAAGCCACTTCTTATTATTCGGTTATTACCTGAGTAATTAAATAAAGTACAATTTTGTCACGAAAATTATGTTATATATTATTTCTTTATCCTTTTTTTGGACACCTTAATTACATTATGGGCCGCATAGCATAGAAAAAACATTAAGTACTAAAAACAAGTAGAAACTAATAAAAAGGAATAATTCAATTCCTTTAACACTGTTTCAATCAAATTAAAAATAGCTACAAAAAGTATGAAATCAAAATATCACTAATTTATTCTGATCACAAAATATTCATATCAAAATATTCTAGTAACAAATTATATTATGTTACTAGTTCTTCGTCCTAATTTACTCTTTATATTATCGGCTATATACCAGTGAAAGTCCCGTCAATATCGGTCCAGCCATTTCAGAGATTAACCAGATCCGACAAACAGATTAAAGATAATATAATTTTTGTTATAAGTGCCGTATATACTTTCTTATTTATATACATTTAGTAAAAAGCTATTATTTTGACATTAAACACAGACATTCAAATTTTATTTATTTGTATATATAACGGCGACAGTCGTGAGTACCAAGTGACAACATTTTCCAGCCAACATACTGCAGGCGAATGACGTGAGTATCAAATGAATGACGAAGATTAACTAACGGATCACCATATCTACCCCGCGCCCTTGTACTTCACCAAAGACGGTACGTACGACACTGCGTACACCACTAGCCACACCAAATCTCATAATTAACGAATTTCTCCTCATTTTCGAAGTTTCTTCTAATCACACTTGACCACCAGTATCATTTGACAGTTGCATTAATCGCTTGCACTTCACAAATCTAAAGAGATCATGATGACGGACATGAAATGATGATGACTATAGGTATCTGATATTATTTAAATTTCGATCTTCAAAAATATGGAAGTAGTACAATAAATATGTAATCATTTATTTATTTATTGTATAATTGAAAAGCAACCATTCAAAATTTTCCTTATTTTTCATCAACCCGCTGTAGTCTGCATATTCTGCAGTTTTCAGAATGAGAATTGTATGTTCAGCAATAGTCTATAACTGCTCCTCGCTGCCAGCCTGAGTATTTTATTTCAGATGAATTCTTTCTGGGCTTTCCCGTAGTCATCTCTTATGACACGAACGGGACAAAAAGGGTTTATGTATTCTCTAAGACCGCGACTATGTGGCAATTTTCCTTATTTTCTACAATTCATATCAACTGGTAAGCAAACCTGTAACTGTGCGTGTTCCTCTTGTAGCTCTTCTATCCTGTCTTTGAGCAGTTCCAGCTGGTAGCCAAGCGCCGCCTTGTCGTTGTCCAGCTGCGCGTTAAGGATCATCGCCTTGCGGAACTTTTCCTCCACCTCTTTCAGCTCGTGCTGTAAAGTATTATTTATTATATTTTAATATATGGCCCTTGATTTACATACAACTTCAACAAAGAGCCGAATCCTAAAACCAAGTATTAAAGGAAATGTGATGACTACTAACATTATGCCTAAATTCCTATATTCAAGAAAACTTTCGTTCTCTGTTACGGTACTAAGAGCATATAAGCACAATTTAATAACGCAGTCAATCTGGATGAAATCGTCTTACATATAACGATATTTAATTTATTGCATGCCTTAAGCGCAAAGCGCGTAGGTAATAGGTATGTTCTACTAGCGCCTAAAAATCAAGATTCCAACGTTTTATCGCATGAAATCGTATCTAACAATCATAATGATCATATAAATTGTATAAAAAGGACGTTGTCAGAAAGATAAATGCTTGTTAAACTTATTGCTTTTTAAATCGATGAATTGTTATTTTTACATAATTTTGTACAACCGACTTCAATATAAGTTATTAAGAATAACTCAAAAACTATTGGTCATATCAAATTCATATGGGACCACATGAGAAGTACCAGCTTTCAAATAAAAAAGAATCATCAAAATCGGTTCACCCAATAAAAAGTTATGAGGTAACACACATAAAAAAAGCATACAGTCGAATTGAGTACCGTCTCCTTTTTGGAAGTCAGCAGAAAAAACGGTTTTAATGGCATAAGGTAGATTTATCAAGTCCGCATGGAGGCGTAAACACGATAACTTTTGAAAATATCAATTGTTTAACACAATCTATTTTTTAAACTCTTCATTTATCATGTGGGAAGCCATTGAATGTAAATGGCAGTTTAATTTTGTTTTGTTTAGGTATAATTAATTTTTTTCGGCTGAGAAATGCCGAAATTTTCGGTGTTTTGAGCAGCCTTGTATTAATTTATTTTACTAAATACACTTTGCCTCACTCCCGGCCACAGAGTACTTTTTACTCCGGGCTCAGCCGCCGTCGTGAGTGGTCGTTTGTTTACAGCGGTTCGTGCTGAAAACTATCGATCGCTTTAGAAATACAAAATATTCCAAGAACCAAATTTGATACATATTTGACCAAGGTAAGATATTATTATTATTATTTTTAAAACACAGATTTTTATTACAATATTGTTTAGCTAAAAGCACGCAGGATTTATATATAAATATACTTATACGTCTTGGACTTTATAGATCTGAAGGTGTGTCGGTATCTGCTACTGGAACTCCTCGACGACGAGAACTAGATGTGCTGAGTTTGGGCTTGTTTTGTTAGTTATGAATAGACCTTACCTCCGGACTTGACGGAGTAACTTGAAGGTGTACTTCGGTGAGTGCTACTGGAACTCTTTGACGAATAGAACTACAATTTAATTTTTTTTTCACTATCATATGAGCATTATGAGTCGTGCACTTTGGATTTTCCAAACTTTTTTTAATTGGAGTTTGACATAAAATTATCGGAAAATTGGAAGTATAGTAATAAGGTTATTAGTGAAAACTAGTGTGTATTTAAACTACAAAAAAAAAAATAGGCATAATCATGTTATCCGTAATTTTTTTAATGCGCTTGAGGCATGCACAATTGGATTTACCAATAGTTTTACGATTTCTCTTTCATAATGACATTTCTAACTCCTTTGAATTATTTTACATTAAAGGTATTTTAACGCACAAATTTACTTTGGTCCTCAGAGCCTGATATCTTAGCTTGATAGAATTCGAAATAATATAAGCAGGAAAGAGCACTTGACGGACTGTGTTGTAATGATAAAAAACTGTTGTCAAATGTGAGATGTATATTTTAAAAGGCCATTTTTACTTCATCCATCAATCACGAAAAGGTTAATATCTATCAAGTAGCTACCCTTAAGTCTTTGATGCTGAAGACGTCATCGGCGGAGTCCTCGGAACTGCGTCTCGGCGAATGTATGGCCGGGCTCAGTGCTGCTAGCCGACCCCCTCGTCGTCCCACCGTCTCTGTAAATAAAAGTATATATTTAAGTATTTTATTTCTTAGGATGATATCACCTGTCTGTTCTGAGACTATGTTTTACAGGCAAACTTTGTAACAGACGCCTCACACTAGGTAGGAGCTGTTCCCTGTCACAAATTTGACAATTTTTGGCAATATTTTTCGGCCATTCGTCCGAAGCACATTTCATCACATTCAATCACATTTCTCTTAGTCGACTAGTTGTACTAGGTGCTTGAACTACTTTTCTGCATAGAAGTCGGTCTGGATAGGTACTTACTTATTTCTGCCTCCAAACAGCAGTGATTGCACTGCTGTGTTTCTATTTGAAGGGACATAATAGAAGATAGAGCCAGCATAATTACAGCTACTGTAAGGCATTCCATATAAGTCGTCAGAGATAACAACGTATCTGTACTTTGTTTGCACTTGCCTTCACTTACCATGGGCTGCTGTAGACACTTATCATCAGGTGAACTGTAAGCTCGTTTGTCACTTCAGTTTTATAAAAAGATATTCGATAGAGATATCGATATTTACTGCAACTACGTGGCGATATAAGGTGAATGGTCCTCTAGCAACAAAACAAATAATTTACTATAACTGAAAACGTTTCTGTCAAACAAAAGCATCTATGTATTATAAAAACATAAGCTGCTGCTTGCATCAGCAACGTACGGTTAAAGCAATAAATAATCTGACTAGTACGAAACATCGCCGTGTAGAGGTAGCCTTAGAGAATCCAATACTCCATATCACACCGTGTCAGTCGTAAGAGGGGACAGAGGGAAATGAAATGGACAGCAGCATCTTCCTGATATCTATCTCTATATTTAAAAATACTTAAAAACTATGGCAAATATCTTCATAGATAGATTTGCCATAATTACTTCATAGATATCTCCATAGATACTTGCCTCATAGCAAGGGGGAAGCCTATATTCACTGGACTTTTGGAACGACATTCACTGTCTCACACTCAACACTCAACCGGAATGGTTCGATTTTACATTCGACGCGTAGTTTTTTTTTCATGTAGGTAAGTTCACCGATTTCTCGGGGACAGCGAAACGGCGGTAAAATAGTGGAATAAGAGCCCCTGACGAAAGCAGAGGGGTGTATATATATATGTGTGTGTGTGTGCGTGTGCGTGTGTGTGTGTGTGCGTGTGCGTGTGTGCGTGCGTGTGTGTGTGCGTGTGCGCGTGTGCGTGTGCGTGTGTGTGTGTGCGTGTGATGCGGATGAACCGATTTTGATTAGGTTGTTTTTAATTTGAAAGGTGCCTGCCTTAATCGAGAGTGTTCTTAGCTATATGTCAAGAAAATCTGTTCAGCCGTTTGAAGATCATCAGCTCTTTTTGCTTCGGGGGTAGTTTTTAATTATTAATTTAAGTTCATATAGGTGACCACTTTTATCATATTAACAAGTTTTGTGGGAAATTGGAACTCCTTCAGTATATCAGAACTAATCAAAACGCCTCTATTAAATACTATGATAAGTCTTCTTAAAGTCTAAGAAAAGCGCATGGATACTCTGCTCATAACACCGACTTCAGAAGCTATTAAGTGTAATTATTTTTGTTATTGAAGTTGATTTTACTTTTTTTAAAGTTTGATTATTAAAACTACTAATTAGCAAAACCGCATTGGTTACTCAAGCTTAAAAAAAGGTTAAGAATTAATTGGGCGTTCTATCGCCAATTACATGCCTGATTAATCAGCCATTTCATAATATTAAGCATGACAATTTTACTCAACACTTAAATATTAGGTAAGTCTTCTGACACGGTCATTTGCCAAACGAGCTGTTGATATTTCAACGGAGAATGCTCTCTATAGAACTTTGCCCCACCCAATAGTGGTGTAAACGAATGCCGTTTGCAACATTTTTTCTACTTTATTACTTCATCCAAATTATTAAAATTTGAAGTCTCTAGAACTTGCGATTTTTTTTAAACTGGACTTTAATAACAACATTTACCTTATTTTTTAGAACAATATTCGTCGCAGTTCATTGTAATTTCGGAATATAAATTGTCAGGCGCTAATGATATATATCAATAAGAATTTAAGGAGAACAATAATATAATGATCAGTAACATTGAAAAAAGGGTTCTCTTATATAGGATCTAAAAGCTCCTTGCACAATATAAGACTATATACATACCATACAATAGATAAACGAGTTATATTATTTACAAAATTATTTTTCAAGATACATATTATTATGACATGTGTCTGAAGAAGGTGTAGATATTTACAGATTAGTAACTAATTTTACGACTACGGCAGGACCATAAATTATCAACTATATAAAAAAGCTATAATAAAACTAAATACATCTGTTGCAAAGATCTTCATGTTGAAAGAAGAGTTAAGATTGTAAATCGAAATGAGTACATAAAATGCCCCTGTATCCTAACGACGCAAAGATGACGATTAATGCACCTCAACATCGTGGATGCAATTATCATAATGTCCGTAGTAATTAGCAGTAAGTCAATAAGTAGGCGTGATCGAGTCCGTATATTAATAAAAGCATAAGTTGTCATCAAAAGCAGGAAAAAGTGCAACGGTAAAGAAAGCGGGAATCAGCAAAAGCAACAATGTGATATAATCATAATCAATATATTTCACAAGCACAAATTAGTCAATGTGTGAAAATATTCGACATTAATTTGTCATACATACGTACTTACGATATTGACACAATAACCTGTGTGTATCATCATATTCACAAAAATCAATGATTGTTATTCAGTAATTATCTAATGCAATTCATGATTACTATCGACTTATAAATAATAATTGAAAATAAAAATTGATAAGTAACATTTTTATATGACAAAGACTTACGATTTTTATATGACAAAGATTTTAATAGAAATATGTAGTGTTTGATACTTTATGCATACATATGTACTTATTCGTACAAAGAAACGCAGATGTTATTAGAAAAGACTGGAAATATAAATATTAATCTTTGAATTCCTTTTTGTATAATATTTTACCGCAAGTTGTACAAAATAACAATTTATTACAAAAAACTTCAAAATTCATAAGATTATTTTTCATAATTTTTACCTTTTTTGTACAAGGTGGGGCACGATCTGGCATTCTCCTTTAAGTGAGACCAAAAATTATTTTAAAATTTATACACCCACCTTTTTATAGAATACAGGTGACAAACGAGCACACACTCTACCTGATGCAACACTGATGACACACTACATGGTGTAAGTGGGTGCTGTGGCCCATAAGCATTTACATAAATCCTGACTAAAGAATCAACATGCAGATGCGTTGTCACCCCCCGAGGACTAAAAGGAAATGCCTCATTTTCAGTAAAAAGGGTCTCCGCTTCTCTTCACTCACCATACGAAACACAGCATGATTAAGCTGCTATTTTCCGCTAGTATTTTGTGAGAGCGTGGTCCTTCCCAGGTCGAGCCGACTATAATACACAACAAAACTATTAATACACAACTTTAATATTTGTGCAGCACGGTTCTACCACGTGGTAAAAAGTAAAGTAAATTCCGTGCCGTGTAGTGGCGGTGTAAAAATATCCCACTATCCCGTCATAAGAAGCGACAGAGGGAAGTTGAAAAATGTGATGGGCAGCAGCATCTTCCTGATAACAACTCAAAATAATGTCAACAGTAAGTACTTAGATTGTATACAAGCAACAGTTAGATAGACAAATCATGTCCTGGATTAACATGTGTGATATTTTTACCGCGAGAAAATAAAAGCCATCGTGGGGAGGAAAAAAAGCTGCGGGCTGAAAAAAAAACCTGCTATTACGAAAAAAAAAATAAGGTTTTTTTTATATTATAGGGTGACAAACGAGCACACAGTCCACCTGATGGTAAGTGGTTGCTGTGGTCCATAGACATCTACATTTATCATCGTTTGCGAATCAAAATACAGATGCGTTGTCACACGTGAGGACTAAGATGGAATGCCTCTTTTCCAATAAAAAGGGTCTCCGGTTCTCTACACTCACCATAGTAAAAACAGCAGAGTTAAGATGCTATTTTACGCTGGTATTCTGTGAGAGCGTGGTCCTTCCCCGGTCGAGCCGACCCATTCGTGCTACAACTATACTACTAAAATAGCTGCAGCATGGCTCTACCACGTATAAAAAGTTTTTGCACGTTTGACAGCTCTGTGCGGTACAGGAGAAATTCCGAGTTTGGGGGTTTAAAAAAACATAAGGAAAGGGTAAAGATAGAAGACGATGTACCCACCTGCGTACATGTCGAACGCTTTGTCCGCATGGTCCTCCTGCTCGCGCTGCTGGCGCTCCAGCTCGCGCATGCGTATCTCGCGCGCCTCTGCGCGGGCTGCTCGTCGCGCTGCCAGCCGCTGCTCAGCCTGTCACAAACACACAAACCATCAACAATACCTTCAAAACTGTTCCACATACTTTTTTCTTTGGTAACGAACTCGTACGGTAGTACTTTTGCCAGTGTCAAGTCAAACGATAAAACAGGAGCAACATTCTGCCGGCGCGCCGGTGAAGTGCTCCTCGAAACTCTCATCTAGGTACTCATATCTACGTACTGTATATACGTTAATTTACATTTTTTTCTTATAGGATAAGGGTTAAAAACGAGCACATAGTCTACCTGATAGTAAGTGGTTGCTGTGACCCATAGACGTCTACTTCTATCCTCGAATACAAATCAAAATGCAGATGCGTTATCACCCGTGAGGACTAGGATATAATGCATCTTTAGCAGTAAAAAGGGTCTCTGATTCTAGATTTATACGGTACCAATTTATCTATATAGAGAAGGGTGACAAACGGCAACCAGTTAAGTATCAAAATTCAGATGGGTCGTTACTCTCGAGGATTAAGATAGATTTCCTGGTACTCCTCACTCACTGATCATACGAAACACAGTATTTTATGCTGGTAATCTGTCAGAGTGAGATGTAAAAGCTGTAGCGTGGTATATCAGCATATATTATAATACCAATCATTACAAGCATTCTGTGCCATGTGGACATACAATAATAGTGGGATATGTTTAGCGATAACTATACATACGTTCAACATGTTTTACGAGGCGAACAAGTGATATGAGGGGTTCATCAAGAGGAAGTTGATACTAGTCCTAACATTTATATATACTTGCATATGAGTATTGCTATTTTGATGCAAAATTAAAAATACTATCGTCGTTGAAGAATTCACATGCTTTTATATTATATACCCCACCATTTAAAATTGAAGTGTCTGTCGGTAATATCGAAATAAGTGTCTTTTATTGAGCTCAGGGGTTTATTCGCATACCGTTCTAACATAACCATTATTAAATGTTTTGTTTGTCTGTCTGTCCGGGTTAAACTTCGGAATGGCTGAACTGATTGTGATAAAACTTCACGAACAGATAGAAAGCACTGCCAGGAGAGATCAAGACTGTATTTTATCTAAAAATAAGTAGGGGCGGGTCGCTAGTATTTCATAAGAATGCCTCCTTAGTTTAGGTCTCCAGTTCAGTCATCCTACTAAAAAAAATGTTATAAGAAACATGTGACTTATAAGGGATCTAGTGATAACGCTTGACACTAATATAGTCCCAGACTTAAGCGCTCAGAGTGGTCTGGCAAAACTGACGTTGACATAGATTTATTTATTTATTATTTTTTTAGAATTCTGGATGAAAAAATGAAGTTGAAAATTGTACAAAAAGGCCTTATTCTTTTCACTGGTACCTCCCTTGGCGATTGCTAGAGAATACAATCCAGCACCCAAAAGGTAATCGTGCAATTCCGCAAGATTGAGACCATGTGTCCCGCGGATCCGCAAGAATTGCAGGATTGTACTATATTTTAGAATTATTAGCCCACAGCATTATTTTCTAAGTCAGTAAATGAAACAACATAATTTACTTAGAAGAAACAAATAGTATAATTAGATTTTGATCAGCGACAATGACAAAAATCTAAATTATGTTATGTGAATTAAAGTCTGAAAAGAAAAATATTAATGAGATTCGGACACTTGCTTCTTAAAATTGTTCTCTGTTTCCTCCATTTTCTTTTGAGTTGAAGCCTCATACTCCATTACAATAGATCTAATTGTATGAGCAGAGGCAGGCGATTTATGGCCTTCTGCTTCAAACAGTTCTCGTAAGTCAATCGATGTGGTAAACTTTGAGATTGGTATGCCATCCTTAGCGACCATTCATGATATTCTCTCTTCCATGGAACTTTTTGTTGACTTTGAAAAAAAAATCTGTGATGACTTTTACCCTTTTCGGCGTTGAAGTATTTTGTTGTGAATGCTGCTGAGAAGAGCTTGTACTGGCGGTTTCAGTATCACTAATGCTACATACGGACTCTTCTGTCACCTTATGCTTCGTAAGCAAGTGTACTGCAAGCCCTTAGTAGATCATGCGTTTATTTTGATGACAGAAGAACAACGTTTACACTGAGCAGAAAGACCATCTTCCGATCTTAGAAAGTACTGCCATACAAATTTATTACTGTCGTATTCCTTATAAATCCCTTTAGCACTCATTTTTAATTTCCCGATTCAAATACCTATAGCCAGTTGTCAATTAATTGATTATATTTAGATGGAATGTTGATGTTCATATATAAAAACAAACCGTTTATTTCAATTTAAATCTCATGTCACAAAAGACGTATACTAGTACGCATAGTACGTCACAAACTCACGAGTCACGACTGAAATAGTGCAAGCTGCAAGCATTAGCAGAGTATAAAATCACGCGACAGATATTTTGGTGAATCCCCGTACGGAGAAAAATTCCCATTCACTCGTCTCACACACAGATACGTACTTCGATTAGGGGATCCCCCTATTATCGTACATTCTTGCCGTACATGACGTTATGCGAATTCAGGTTGAAAAAATAAAATCTTTCAAATCTTGCGGATCCCGCACGTGTTATCCCGCATTTATAATCACGCTTATTTCATGCGGGATCTGCATTTGTGGGATTGCGGATCCGCGGGATTGCATTCCCTAGTCATTGCCGATGCCGAAGCAGGTCTTCTTAATACATTGAATATATGGTTTCAATCTAACATTCTTACTCTAAATATTACCAGAACACACTACGTAATTTTTTACATAAAAAAAAGTTGGTTACTGTAAGCCGCTGATAATAAATAATGAACTAATCCCTAAAGTAGATTATGAAAAATACCATGGTCTTTTTTTGGATAAGCATATGACATACATATAACATATAAATAATAAAATAATATTAAATCTGAATTGTTATAGTCGCTATATTATTATCTATTGCTCAGTTAAACGACTTGTTAGTAATAACTTACAGCGTTGTTTATTATAATTAAGTGTAAGAGTCTAGTGTAATACTTTTCTTAGTTCTGGAGGGGATCCAGAGTTTCCTCCAGAACTGAGGGGAACTTCGTACCAACGTCTTAACTATATCTGCCGTCAAGGACACACTGTTGTGTCTCTGGTTGAAGAACAAAAAACTAGAACAATAACAGACATGACAACGCATCTAAAATGTTCTTTATTTGAAATTGGTTGCAGATGCCAGGTCTGTTAACTCGCTTGTCTCACTATCTTATGAAAAGAGGCCAGGCGCAGATAATTAAAGAAAGACAATGTCGAAATACTTAAACGATACCTAATAGATAATTTTTGTTAGCAGTCATCAGTTAATGTGTAAAGCGATTTAACGATAACCTAAAACAGGTATTTGATAAGAGAACACGGCGAGGAAAAATATTGTAGCATTTGTCAGTCATTGTTAGCTGATTTCAAATTCCAAATTCGACTGTATGATTTTCTTTGTGATTGTCCCCGCCATTACATCAGATTTGATGGACCGCAAATCCTCGCGAAAGAACATCGATTCCTACCAATGATGATAAAATTAAAAAAAAACACTCTAATTTCTATAGAGCGGAGGCTGGGTACTACCACCTGCTTGGCATCCTGAAATTAATAAAATTAAGACTAAACCCAAGTATACCACTGCAAAACTTCAGGACACAGTAAGCTCATTCTGCGTAGATCGGACCAATAGTAATAATTAAAAGCTGATGTTACTGCGGGTCAACTTTGATATCGGGACGTCAATCACCTCAGACCCCCGTGACCATGGGTTTAACGGTAAAGCACCCGAAACATCGGGAATTAAAATTAAATAAATTAAACGCGATAAAGCCGCAAAAAATAATTTGATTCAATGGATAGCCAAGTTTAAAGTAGTAATACACTTATAAATACAAACTATTTTACTACAATGTTTACTAGAAATAAGAGTTCTATGGCCGTCAGCGAATCGTTTATAGGCTGTAACTTGTAAAAGTATACAAACTATTTTCAAGTTTAAGGTCAGAAAAACATTAAAATACACTTGTGTACATACAAGACATTACCAATACCTTTTTACCGTTTCATTTTTATAAATGTAGATGTAACCTCGTGCGTCATCTCCGGGATGTGGTCGCGGAAGTAAGCGCTTCAGGTATTTTCCCCGTGACAACATAGACTATAATACTGTATACAATACTATTGACTAATACTATAGACACACAATAGATACAGACTATCTTACACCAGGATATTAGAATATCGAAACTAGGAGAAAAGGCGATTAAAAAAATTATTTTAACGACATACAATTTATTAATAAAGTATATTGCAACGGTTCGCTAAATCATAATACACGTCATTATAATTACAGCACCATCACAAGTGTACTGTTGAACATGAGCTTCCATATTAAATCACTACAAAGCAAGGTATGTGCCACCTGCATACATTGGCTCTGTGCATGCATGAGGTCGTCACTCAATACAGTAAAGGGTTTCAAAAAATTCCTACATTGCCTTTACGGCACAGGTCTGCCACTCGAGAAACTTATTACGAGTACTAACTCTCTAACTTTTTATCATTAACAGGCCAGCGTTAGACCAAGATCCTGCTTTTAAGTGAGGTGATAGGGTCCTAGACGGTAAACACTAATTAGTTTAGAAAATGTCTATTCATTCAGGGCAAACTTACACGAATGAGGGCTAATATTACTCCACTCACCAGATGTCGTTACTTGACACTCAGGTGAAGTTTTTTTGTTACACAATGTCATTTATATGAGAAGCAAGTTTTAAATAAAAGTTAGTCAGTTTCTAGAGTATTATATTAATACACAAAACAATGCCTCAGTGGTTTGCCCTTTAATTTCTTGCACATATTTAACTTTTTTTTAATTTTTCTACTTTTATGAATATCTGTGGTTTGGTTTATTTATTTTTAATCATATTAATATAAAATATAGCTAAAAGTACAGAAAGAAACATTAACCCTTATATTTTCCGAACAAATTAACTTCCGTGCTATGAAATCTGTCAAATAT